CAGGTTGGATGGGGCTTGGAGCAACCTGGGCTAGTGGAAGGTGTCCCTGCCCATGGCAGGGGGTAGAATGAGATTATCTCTAAGGTCCCTTCCAAACCAAATCATTCCATGGTTCTTGGGTTTATGGAAGCTCTTACCCCCTGCTAGTCAGGATCAACAAGTGTGAAGCAGGACTCTCCAGCAGGTCACCAAGTTAAGGCCACGGGGAAGGGCTGGGTGTTGGAGCTTTGTTCTCCTGGGTTTGCCCAGGGATGTGACCAAGAGCGTATCCAGGGTTTCTGGCACTGCCACAGAGGGACAGTATCACATACAGACACATTGTACAGTACCTGCTGATGCTTGGGTGGTGTTATACAAAATCTTTGGGGGAGGCGGGAAGTTGGGGTACTTTTGGTGTGAAAAGCTAAGAGGTGGCTTTGAAAGCTGTGATCTAAAACCACTCTGCTTGCCTGATCTTGAAAAAGACTTCAACAAATGCAGCTGAACTCCAAAGGTCTGTGCTGTGTGTGGAAGACAGGTGTTTCAGTCAGGTTTTGTTGGTATCTGGGATTTTATTTCTCTTAAAGTAAAATGTGAAAGGCATAATATTGACTAGACTATTACAATTATAATTTGAAATAATTTCAATTTTTCATTGAAACTGACAATTTTCACATTCTAATTTAGCAAGTCACTTTGAGGCTGTCAGTTTTCACAGTTATAATTAAGTAGATCTAAATTCATCCCTGAAATCTGTGCTGATGATTGACAGGGAAGTCAGATCTATATTCTAGTCAAAGGAGGGAAGAGGAGCTGGAGCTGAGGGGGAGCTGTGCAAGGTTTACCTCTTGACAAGCCTCCTCTTGTGTACTGGGGTTTCACACCACATCATCTGTGATTCAGTTTCCCAGCCACAAAACAGATACAAGAAAGATTATTTTTCTTTTGCTTCTTTTGTCTTCTATAAAGCAGGAGCCATCTCCTCCTGTGCAAATCTGGTCCTAGGGATTTTCACCTCAGCTGTATTATGAAAGTGCCCTTGTATTATAAAATATACTTTTAAGGTGAAAGATATTTCACATATAAAGTGTGATGTCCCTGTGGGTACACAAGGGGGAATGATTTGTGAGAATTTTTGGGGGGGGAAATGTGATTCATCCATACTGTTGGTGGGTAAAAAGAGTCAGAAACATAAGGATAAGAAGCATGGGTCGGATGTGATTTATAAGTATTTAAATCAGGCTTAAAATAACCTACAGGCTATAGAGAAGTGCAAGTAGAAACTGCACTGTGAAGAGTGGGCAGCAAGGCAAGGAACAGTGCTGGAAAAATGAATGAAATAAGTCATGACTGCAAAGCCCCCTGGGGAATTTGGCCAGCCAGGAAACAGGACCAGTCCTTATGGTTTCCATTCTTTCTTTCCTCTTTAGCTTTGGCAGAGAAAAGTGTAATATATTAATATATGACCATCTCAAGTTTTACTGAGTTGGTTTTTTTTTCTGCATATTGCTAATTTTAATGTAATTTTACTGTGAGGTCCACTGGGCTAAGCAGTAAAAATGTGGGTTGTTATCTGACTTTGGCAGCTGAGAGGGGGGTGTGGAGGAGGTGTAATTTGCACTGACTTGAACGAGGAGTGGCAGGAAAGAAAATCAGCCAGGCAGGTGTGATGGATGAGCAGAAGCTCATATTTAGCATGGGAAGGCAGAGGGTCCCAGGTGAGCTGCCCCCTGTGTGCTCCTCCCCGAGGCCCCACGTTTCAGACCCCATTTATTAAAGCGCTGTGATTAATTGTACACCCAGTACAACTCCTTGGCTGTGCCGGATAATTCCCGTTCTATCCTTCTGTTTGTAGTGGATGCAAAGGCGAGTGTTGCCCGGGATAATGTGGCCGTTTCTTCCCCGAAGACAATGGAGCAGGGCCCCGCTGCCGAGGCGGGCGGGCAGAGCCTCGGGAGCGCTGCCAGGAGAGCTGGGCCAGCTGCGAAACCCCGCTCTGTGCTCGCCTTCTCGTGGGCTGTACCAGGGCGTACTGAAGATCCAGCGACGGATTCATCACTTGGACCGGCGAAACTTGATGTCAGCCCTGTGTCTCCCAGCGGGAACAAAGCCCTGAGTGAGGGAGCAGAGGTTCCTGGGGCAGCTGTGCCGGAGGAAGGCTCCGATAAAAACCTGAGCCGGGCACCGCTGCAGGACGTCGAGCTCACAGTGTCACCTGAGGGAGAGGATGTGGCCACCTCAAAGCCAAAACCAGTGACCTTCTTTGACAGGATCTTCAAACTGGAGAAGGGAAAGGAAAGGAGTAAAGCACGAGGTGATCCCCAGGAGGAGCGGCAGGCGTTGGACGTTCCCGACGGGAGCATCAGGGCTGTGGGATTACAGAGCACGTCCAATGGTGTCCCACAGGGGAAGGCAAGTGCTGCTGTACAATATCCATTCACTAATGAATATTGGGAATATTATTGGAGTAGGACAGCTCCATGCTGTGATGGCTGTGAGTGAATGTGTTACCACAGGTGACGCCTCGTGGGGGTGGCTGGAGAGAGGTGTGGGAGAGGAACCTGTGGTGAAGTGGTGAAGCTCTGGCATCTGTCTCATGGCTGAATGCTGGCACTGACCTCGAATTTAAATTAATTTTTAATTCTCTGAAAGGTTTGGCCGAGATTGTTGTGTCCTTAAGAATTGGACTCGATGATCCTTGTGGGTCCCTTCCGACTCCTGGTACTCTGTGAACTGTCTGTGTCCACGCTCTAAAGCCAGGATGAACAGCAGCCAGTTACCAGTGAAAGCAAGAATACCTGAAAGCAAAACACTAAATGCTTTAGGAGCTTGGAGTTTGGCCTTGGATGGTTTTAAAGTTCTTTGTTGTGTTTTGTGCCATTTTTAAAATAGTCCCATTTCTTGAGCAATAGCTGCTTGTTTCATATCCTACATATTACAATAAGCAATATTATGCAGCAGCAATTTTTTTTTACTCCTGGCTATTGTGATTTTTTTTTTTAGTCAAGGAAATCTGGTCCATTAGAATTGATTTTACAGGATGAGAATGTGATATAAGAAACTAACTGTGAGAGCACATTAGTCAAAGGAGCTGAAAACAAGTATCAGTTTAGATTTTACACTTCCTGCAAAGTCTGATATCAGCAAAGATACTGTAGAATTAATTTTCAGGTAATTAACTTTTGAGTAAGTCCATCCCTTGGATGGGGATAAATGGCATAACTCTTCCTAGTTCTGCTGGAGAGGTGGAATACACTAATTATTGATCTAATTCAAATCCTATCCAATGTGAGGGACTGAAGTTTCATAACAACTGGTTTTATTGGCCTAGTTCAGGCTCACAAATAAGACTGCTGTGTGATCACTAATGCTCTCAGTAGTGCTGAACACAGTTCACCAGTGCACTGCTTGCACTGACAACATTGCAGGTTGTCCCCAAAAGTCTCTTTGATCCTCTACCTTGTCTTCTGTATCCTAGACATTCTCAAATTTGAAATCACATTTCTGGTGTGAATTTATAATTTTTAATATTTTTCTGAACCTTCATTTGTAAGACAAAACATTTGCATTTATGACCAGTGGCCTTCCAAAGTGGCCCCATCACTAGTGTTTCAGGCAGCTACAGGGGCATTTTTTAAAGAATCCATAGTCTCCACCAAGCAGAATATAAAGTCATTCACTACCTAAACAGAACAGGGGGGATAATTCAGAATGAATAATCTGTTCAGTGCACACTGGCACTTCTGTGTGTAGCCTATGAGAAGGAAGCCTTTCAACACTGTAAATTCCCGAAGATTTTTTTGACTAACGCACACAATAAGTTTTCCTTGTGGCTTGCAGGAATTGTTACTTTTACAACCCAAATTCCTATTTCCTGGTTTGCTGCCATTGCAGTGACACTACTTTCACGCTGTGGGGTGTGAAAGGTCACAATTGGTGCTGCTGAAGTAACACAGTGTGAAACTCTAATGGAATAACAATCTGGAGGAGTTTTAACCAGAAGTCAAACACTTGGTGGGAGCAAATAGTCATGCTGAAAGCCCAAGCAAACCAGTGCTGTATCAGCAGCCATCAGGGGACAGGACAAGATAATGTAAATCTTATTCTGCCAGTTCTAACAGCTCCTGGAAGCACTTTTCATTCAGATCAAGCTTTGTTATACCAACACTGCCCGTATTTCTTACTAATTCTTACTGATTTGGAGTTGTCTTCAAGTTGTCTTTTACCTATTCACATCCTGGATCTCACTAATGGGAATAATCTGGACACCCCAGGCACTCCTGAGATGTTGATGTTTGGTGTCTGAGTGTTTCAGGATCACACAACAGCTTTTTGGGGACCTGCTTGAGGACAGGTCTGCTGGGTAACAAAAGTGCCTGGACATCTTGTGTGTGTGCCTAAATCTGTACCATGGAAAGCCTTGAGCACTCACAAAATCAGGGTTCAAGTCACTCAGTGTAAGTGGCAGAACTGTATCACAGGTGAGTGAAATTTTAGCCTTACCCTTGAATTTCTGGACTATAATTTTGTATTTAATTCTTCCAACACGAAAAGGAAAATATGTTGGGGGCAGAGAGGAGTTAAGAACCTTTTCTGGGAAAAATATATCAACTAAACACTCCAATATGTTGCCAAATTTAAGTCCATTTCTAAAACAAAGGCCATGGCTCTGCCTTGCAGCACAGTTGCCTTCTGTTCCCCCTAAAGTTTCTAGTTCTTGTGTAGGATGGGAGAATGACCAAGTCTAATTTAATTACTGTTACTGTAGTAACTAAAGACTGTTACCAAATAATCATATTAAAAATCCAGATATTGCTGCCAACAGTTCCTTTTTTCCTTTTTTTTTTTTTTTTTTTTTTTTCTCTGAGGATTATGACTTGTAGTATCTGTAAAAGCTAAAAGCAAAGCAAAGTTTCCCCGAATTGAGTGCCAACACAAAACAAACAGCATTGCTGGTAAGTAAGAGAGAGGCTCCACAGTTGTAGCTTAAGAGCTGCACAAACATTCTGTGTTTGGTGAACCACTCTTTATTTTTGTGGTCTACAAAACTACATTCAGAACACAGCATAATTAAAACAAGGACAGAATTCATGAATTCATGAAGCATTTACTATGTAAGCCAAAGAAAAGATAAATTATATGCCTGAAATGTTTCACTGAGCCATGATTCATGCAAACAAAAGTGCTGGCAGGAATACATTCTTTTGATATGTTTTTTTTCTGATGACTGAACTGAAACTACAGTATAAGTATTTAAGGTGTTTATTACCCCTAAATTTGGCTCCTCAGAGAAATGAATTGAACATTTACATAGGATCTGTTAACTCCTAATACTGACCTTCTGTTATTCCTAGACTTTCTCTCATTATTTGCCCCCAGGGCTTTGCACAGGGAGCTGCTGCAGAGGCTTTTGTGGTGATTTTGTGGCTCTGAAAACGTGATAATGTAGGACTGTGCATTATCTCTCCCTGATTTATATGCTGATGGCCCGAGTCTATGCTCCTTCCTGCAGCAGTATTCCCATGGGAGCACAAGATGGATCACAGCATCTGTCAAAGCCTGTATTTCAGTGGTATCTTGGTAATTAAGGGCAGCCTTGTACTGGGAATCCTGTAGTGAGGATACTCGTGCAGTGGTGGGTTATGGGGCACGTTTGTGCTCTGAAGTTGGAGTTCAGGGATTTTTGGATAGTGCTGTGCTTCAAGCTCTGCACTGTCTGCAATGGCTTTCCAGGGAGATTTCCTGGGATAGCCAGTGCTGCCAGAGGTGGTACCTGGCACCTCTGGAGCTGCCCCAGCTGGTATCTGCTGCTGGAAGCAGCTGAGTGCAGCAAAGCTCCCTTCCTCCTAAAGTGCAGCCCAACATCTGGGCTTGGGCTTGTGCTGTAATAAAAAAAAAAAAATCTATTTTGTTTATTATTCTCGATAGCATCAAGTAGGAAAGAGCTTGATGGCATCAAGTCCCTCAGCTGTGAAGCTGGTTTTGTTTAGCAACATATCTTGTGCCTCCTGCTCCTCTGATCTCTTGCCTCACGGCTCTGTTGGCCCTTTAACATCTGAAAGGGAGCCAGCATTTGTCATAGGAGCTCTTTAGATGCCATCCCTGGCTGTGGGGCTGCCCTGGCCACGCATGTTCTGCACGGCACAGATTGTTCCTGGAGCCACTCTGGCCTGGAACTGGCAGCTGGACAAAGTGGTGTGTTAGGCCCTTGTCAGAAACTTCTGAATATTTGAGGCACTCAACCACTGTGCTGTGATTCTTCCTGGGTAAACTTGGAAAATGGTGGGTGGAGAATTAAACAGAAATCTGTTCTTGCATTTGAAGCCTTGTGTATTTAACTCCCTAAATGCTGTGTGGAGACTGACCACTCCATGCTCAGCCTATCCCTGTCAGTTTATCCCTCTGAAGTTTTAAACCATTTATGCATCTTTAGTCAACTCCTTCCACTAGTGACCTGGAGAAAGCTATGTCCTCTGCAAATGTCATGCAAATACTGTGGGATTTTTAATTGCCTAGCAGAGGGAAAAGTTCCAGAGCACAATTTTTTTTTTTTCCAACTTTTCACACCAAAAAAAAGCACTGAACTGTAATGGGTAGGTTAGGGATAAAAACCTTGCTGTCCCTTACATCTCCAGGAAGATGCTGTTTACTGGAGACACCTAGACAGGCTCATCAGTATTTCTTGTCCTGATTTTTCCTGTGGAGTAATCAGGGCATGTGGTTTCCTACAGCTGCTTCTCTAGTTGTTCTTTCCTAGTGACCAGATCCCTTCTTAGTGACCCAATGGATACTTGGGTACTGCCAACTAAATAGTTGGGGATGGTAACTTGTGCTGAAGAGTTATGGAACTGCCAGGGTGGTCTGCTCAGTTTTAAATCCTCACCAAAGTCAAGGCCACCATCATGCCAGGCACAATTTACTTTTATCAAGTGGGCAGATCAACCCTGCACTTACAGTGTAGATACATTGATGGAAGGAAGGAGGATTATTGGTAACATTCAGACATCACTAGCCAGGTGTAGTACTAGTAAATATTTAAAAAAGGAGGTGCTGAATGGGCCATGAGGACTTGTCTCAAGCTACTCTCTTGTGACAGCACTTGTGTTGAATTTACCTGTGCAGGCTCAAAGCAAAGGTGGCCAGAATAGCAGGCAAATTGAAAGTGAAAGGGTGCCAAAAAATAGCCATGACCCTTGTTTAGGTGTTTAAACAGAAACTGAGTGACTTAATATTGCATATTTATGAGTGCTTGAGCACTGGAAAACTCTTTTTGGGCTCTGGGAACTCCAATTCCATGAAGAGAGGAAGCAGCTCCATCTGGCTCAGTAGAAACAAAGTGTTTGCCTTTTTCCTTCTTTTAATCTGTGTCATGTTTGTGTTTGCTAGATAATAATTATTCCTGGAATGGCAGAATAGAGTAGCAGAAGCAATCTTTGTATGGCACGATCAGACACTGAGCTGTCAAAGGCCAAAATCTCAGCTTTTATTTTCATTCTTCACAAGTTCAGCCTTGAAAAGAGAAGAGTGGTGTTTAGGATGCTGTGTGTGACTTGATTTGTGTTTGTTGTACTTGCTAGCTGAGAACAATGTTCCCCCAACCAAGAGCCAATGCTGAATATATTAGAAAAGAGGGGAAGGAGATGTATAAATGCTCGATTGTTCTGAACATGTAGGCTGGGGAAGTATGGTTGGAATTAGGGTTGTGACTCTCTGAGCAACAGAATGCAAGTCACAAAAGTTACTTTTGCATTCCACTGGGAAATCGGGCAAGCCAGGACTGAGGAATCTCTGCCCCCTTTTTTTTTTAGGAGATAGATGACTGCAACCAAAAGGACCTACGGGAGGACTCTGCAGGTGTCACCAGTCCCGGTGCTGCTCAAGCTGAGAAGGCAGAGGTAAAGCAGGACAGCCCCCAGGCAGCTGCTGCAGGAGACAACTCCGTCATGAGCTTCCTCAGAACACTGGTGAGACTTTACCTTTCCTTTCCACCTCTTTAAGCTTTAAATTGCTCCTAAAAATCCCGTGTGAACATGAGCTGAGTGCATGTGTTTGCTGTCACGGGCACTGGGGAGGGATGAAGTGAGAGGTGTGTGAGGACAGTGCAGTTGTGATCAAATGAGGGGCACCTGCTCTGGAAACCTTTACTTCTGCAGAGATGCTTGTAGACCTGGAAGTATTTACCTGTCTTAAACATCTTCTGCACGAAGAAATTTATTTTGTAACATCTCTAAGTTCATTTTTATTAATTGATGTGTAAGCTTGAATAGTAAATATTTGGTCCAGGCATTTTTCATTTTAGCCATTGACTTTAAGTTGTTGTCAAGAAATGTTTACAGGTATTGCTTCCCCTCATGTAGAAAAATTTATACTTTCACCTTTGTGCTAGAAAAACCTGCTGATTTCAAACTTATGATCTTTTAGATCTTTTGAAAGACTGAGTGGAGTGACTATTTTTTCTCAAATACTTTTAAGGTCTCCCCAAGCAAAGCTGAAGCCAAAAGTGATTCTGAAGACAAGGTAGGCAGATTCCTTGTTCAGTCACTAGAGTTTCTGACACAGCTATTTCCTCTTCATTGTGTTGCTTTTTCAGCAATTGATGTCATTTGAAGCAACTAAAAATATTTTTCCCCTGAATAAATTTAAAAGGAAGATGAGAGTAAATAGTTAATCATATCATCTGTTACAATCAAAATCTGAACTGTTGCACCTTCTGCAAGCTTGATGATGACTTGATAATGCTCTTGTTGTTTCTCTGACTTGTCCTTGATCTAAAACTTCAAGTCCCTGCAATGAAAACCTCTGGATTCCACAGAAAAAATTCCATTTGCCCATAGAGCAGAAGTTTTCCTTGCACTGTGATAAGACACAAAGAATAGAACCCTAAAAAAAATATTGTTTTACATATAGATATTAAGTAGCCAAAATCACTGAGCATCATTTTGTTTTCTCTCCTGTTTTTTTATCCTTTTGTCCCATTCAATTTTTGATAAAGCCTGGTACTGAAACGAGCAGTTTTTGCAGAAAGCTTCGTGAGGACATGGGGGGATACACATCACTCCCCAGCTGTAGCTCAGTAACTCTGAAATAACTCCCAAAATCGTCAGCCAGGGCTAAGGTCTTCCCAGACATCCAGAAAATGCAGTTCTCAAACTGCACTGGCTCAGTGGGACCTGCAGCTCTTTCAACAGCTGTGAAAAATCCGGTTGCTCAGTCCCGTTGACATACCTGGCTTTGTCATGTGCTGCTGTAACAGGTGACTCTTGGTGCTGGGGTGCTGTCATTTGGAAACAAATATGCTGTTTGGGTTTGGTTTGTTATCACACTGGGAGGGTAAACAAGCCCAGATGACTGGCAGGATATGCAAACTCATTATGCAGAGGTTAAGTGGGAGTTCTCTTTTATTAGGAATTCCTTTATCTTCACGATCTTCCTGATAGGACATTTTTACTTTATTAAAGGGGAAATAAGTGTAAAAGGTTACCTTATCAGTCTTCATGTAGAAAAGCTGTAGATTTTTCAGCTGATATGAAATAATGGTGGGTTTTTTCCCCCTGAGAAATGACTTGTGTCTTAGTGGTAAAGATGTGTTTTCCCCTGGGAGCAGTCTGAGCCTCTCCCAAGTGCCATGGGGCTCTCAGGTGGCTGCTGTGCTTTTGAGTCATAAATCACAGAATATCCTGAGTTGGGTCTCACAAGGATCATCCAGTCCAACTCCTGGCCCTGCACAGACACCCCAACAATCCCACCCTGTCCCTGAGAGCATTGTCCTAATGTTCCTTGAGCTCTGGCAGCCTTGGGGCTGTGAGCACTGCCCTGGGGAGCCTGTTCAGTGCCCGATCACCCTCTGGGGGAGGAACTTTTTGCTTTTTGCAGCAATGTGCTGCCATCAGGGATATCTGTGGCTCTAATCAGCTGGGTGAAGCCATGTGTGCTTCCAGCAGCCTGGGCACACCCTTAATGACTGTCCCTTCATCTGTGTGAGCACGGGAGTTAGAGCAGAGTCACTTCCTTGGAAGAGCTGATCCTTTGCAAGTTCAAACAAACCAAGAGTGTATTCTGAGATCTGTCCCAGACCACCAACCTGAGCCTTCTGTGGCAGACCCTGAGTTGTTCCCATCTCACTCTGCATTTGGGAATTTTGCAGGACATGAGAATTTTGCAGGATACTGCAGGAAAAAAGACCAGTTTCCATGTGACTGGCCACAGCTGCTTCACAGCACAAAGCATTGGCAGGACTGGTGACTGCACTGCAGGACACAACCTTGGGACCAGGATCTCGACTTCACGTGCTCATATGTGTCACATTCTGTACTCTGGACCTTTCCTCCCACCCTGTTGGTTAAACAACCCCAATACTTGTCCCTGCACAGGACAGCCCCAAGAGGCACATAGCTGGGATTGTTGGGGTGTCCTGTGCAGGCCAGAATTTGGGCTCTGATAATCCTTGTGGGTCCCTTCCAGCTCAGCATATTCTGTGATTCACACTGTAAACACTGTAGGCTAATTGTTTCTTTGGAGTTTGGGTCTCTTTGCACTTCCATAGTTCCTGGAAAGTTTTATCAACTCATTTTCAAGTTTTTTGCTGGTTGGAAGCTTTTTTTTTTTTTTTTTGCCTTGTTGAAGTGTAAAATAAAAAAGAATGAAGCTTGCAAAGGGACAAGCTAGTTACCTTGGGTGTCAACAACTGAAGTCTCAGTCTTTGTGGGATTTAGGTTTCAATTTAATAGAGATTTTAGAGGGAAAATTGTGATTTAATTTGGAATCAAGTGGACTGTCTTAGCTTTTATTTCACTCCTCATATGAAAGAAAGTCTCAGGAGAGCTGAGTAATCACTCAGAAGAAAAAAAAAAAACATGATTTGTTGTCCAGGGCAAAAAGGAGATGTTTACCTTTAATGCTACGTGTGTGAGTGTTTGAATGTCTTTCATGAACCAAATAACTTTGCAATAAGTGCTCAACTGCCACTGGTGTTGTACAAAGGGCTCGAGAGCAGAGAAGGGCCATGGTGGGCAGCCCTCTCCGAAGGCAGAATCCCCAACCAAAGGAGCCAAGAAAAAGAAGGCAGAGAGTCCCAAGCTGGGCCACAGCACGTTTAGTAAACTCTTTAGGCACAAGGTCGGTATGAACCTCGAGCAGGAGCAGAGCCCTGAGCAGTAACAGATGGCTCCTGTCAGAGAGAAGAGTTGTTTAACTGGTGACTCCAACCAGCATCTGGCCAGATGTGCAGTGCTCTGGGAGTGCTGTGTGAGCATTCCCGGGCCAGGTGTGATGAAAACCATCCTCACGTGCAGCGTTTCTCTCGTTGGGCCATCTGTGAGCTCAGGGTTCTGAAAGAACTCCTCTCACCTTCCCTGCTCTGTGATTCCCAGTTACTAACCCTGACTAAACCTCCCTGGCCACTACAAGCAAAATCGAAGGTGCTGACAAACAATGAATCGTGTAAATGTGAGCAGAGCCTGCAACTGTAGAGCAGGCAGAGCTGCAGAGCTCAGGGGAGCTACACTTCGGGCTTTATGATCATTAACAGGCACCATCACGTGGCTAAAATTGGTGAACTGGGCCATCTGATACGGCACAGAGAAGGCTGGAACATGGAATTTCCTTCAGAAATAGGTATTTCTCACTGAAAACAAGAAAAGTAATTGTTGATTGAAGTTTAGTTTGAAGGAAAAAACTCTGGTTTTGAAGAGTACTTTTAAGTGTTTTAAATGCACATTCAATCAAAGGGTTGTTTCAGAGGACCAAAAATCACTGAAAGCTTTTGGTCTCAAGCTCTGTATTTAGGGGTTTCTGCAGTCTCTGAAGATAATCTGCCATGGTGCTCCATGGCAGGGAAGCAGAGAATTGTAGCTTTTTAGCCCAAAGAATGCAGGAGCAGAGACCCTTTCACTGGGGGAGGCAAGTAATTAATATTTAATGCTCACTCAAGACACCCACATGGAATTTCTGGTGAGTAGGGGGCTTTATAGTCAAGGGCACAAGTCAAAGGGAGTTCTTTAACACATTTTCAACACAGAAATGTTCTTTCCATGTTACATTTTTGAGATGTCATCTGCATGTTGCTGAAGGAATAATAATATTCCCAATGGTTTTAAGTCTGCAATTCTTGCCAACAGCCTAAAGTTAAGATCTCATCTCATATATACTATGTTGATAGCTAATAGTTTTGGTATTTAATACAATGAAAATATTAATTACTTCTTCATAATGAGTTAGGGCTTCCTGGTAAAAACCACACCTGTCTAGCATTTTTTAAGACCCTTCTATAACAGTGCAAAAATCTTGCAGTGAACTGTAGGGAGAGGTGCTTGACTTTCATTGGAATATTTAATGGAACTTTGAAAAGTTATGGTGTGGAATGAGAGCAGTTATCTTTAAGGAAAGCAACAGCACTAAATTTTTACGCCAATAAAATCTGTCTTATAAAATGCCATTACTTTTAAAACAGCTTTTTCTTGTTTCCAAATTTATTTTCACAGTTTCCTTTCCACATACAAACTAAAGAAGCAATAGCTGGGAGAGCATTTATGGCATATTAAGAGTAAAGGGGATGGATTAAAATGGTGCCAACAGTTTGCTTGTGAGGCTGATTGAAAATGGCAATTCAGATTGGAGCAGTGATGTGACAGGCAGGCCCTAAAGTTACCAATTCTAGTAAAAAAACCCCCTAGTTTGTATCTTTTCCTCTGAAATGCCTTACCGTGTGAACTAGATCACCAGGTAACAAATTTCTTTATCTGAAATGATAATTTTAATCTATTTACTCATATTTAGTTTTGAGCACTTCACTGTCTCCTGTGCAAACCTTCCAAAATAAACAGCTCTGTACATTAATTAAGTTGACTATTAGCTTAACAAAAACGTTGTTTTTCAGTCTCCTGTTATGTGAATACTAACTTTAAAGCAACTCCTGAATGTTGTTTTCAAACAGCAATGCACATCCTGATATAAACCCCTAACACAGTGCGGTTTGTCCCTTTGACCTCAGACTCAGTTTGGGTGGCATTCCAAACTGGGTCCCTCTCTGCCCTTTCATTCCCATCCCTGTGTATTTGCCTTGCATTTCATGCCAGTTTTGCAGTGTAACTGTGCTGGTTTATGGGGTTTTTCCTTGGAAGAGAAGGGTTGGTCACTCACTTTGAGCACTAGTGCTGAAGCCAGTCCATGGTATTGTGCTTGTTCTTCCTACTTGCTCTGGATCCTGTTCATTAGAGCTGACCACAAAAAAGATCCTGGCTCCTGCAAAATAACTCTCACCTGCTGTCTCAAGTCCCCAAAGCCCAGGGGTGCTGGGCTCAGTTTATGGTTGGCTGATGTTTTATGTACAGCTCAGGTAATTCTTCAGTGTGAGCTCTGCTGGGTGTGAGGGCTGAGAGAGGGGTGTATCACTGCCCAAGGAGGAATTTGCTCCTGGATTTGTGTGTTTTGAGGAAATCAGGAGATACAGATCTGAGGAGGAGGTTATTGCATAAGGGAACCTACAAGAAAGATGGAGAGACTTTTTACAAGAGCACATAGTGACAGAACAAGGGGGAATGGATTCATAGTGACAGACAGTAGGGTTGGATTGGGCATCAGGAAGAAATTCTTGGCTGTGAGGGTGGTGAGGCCCTGGCACAGGTTGCCCAGAGAAGCTGTGGCTGCCCCATCCCTGGAAGTGTCCAAGACCAGGTTGGACGGGGCTTGGAGCAACCTGGGATGGTGGAAGGTGTCCCTGCCCATGGCAGGGGAGTGGAATGAGATGATTTTTAACATCCCTTCCAACCTCAGCCACTCTGATCATATAAAAAGAGTAAATCCCACCCAATGCCCAAAAGTGTGAGGGGATGGGTTAAACCAATCCCCAGCACCTGCAGAGCTTCTCTTTGTGGAACTGCAACTCCTGCTCTTACAAAGCCATGGCTGTTCTGTGCCCTTGCTTTCCAGGCTGTTATTTGCCTCTGTTTTATATCCCAGAAAGTGAAGTTCCCCATTCTGAAGGCAGCATGAGCACATCCCAGACTGGTGTGTGGCTCCCCATAGAAAACACCCAGCTCTGGTGTGTAAATGTACCCTGGAAATTGCACACACAGACCCAGTGCAGAAAAATCTCTGCTAGTACCTTCAAACCCTGTGTAATGTGTTACCTGAACAGAACGGGAATATATGGAATATGGGAATGCAGATATAAATACAGCTATTTTTAAAGAACAGGTTGAGAACTGCAAGCACAGCAACATGAGCACAAAGCAGTGCAGGTAGAAGGATGGGACGTGGCAGTGCCTTGGAAGCCTCTCCTCAGCCTGGGCTCAGTTTCCATGGCTGCAGGAGCCAGGACTTTCACAAACGTTGACTAAAAATAAAATAATTTGTCCCACAGACAATTTGAGCACTGTGACACTGCCTCAGACAGACTTGTCTTTGTGTTTTGTTTCCCTTCAGGCTGCAAAAGAGACCCAACAGACAACCAACACCAAAGTGAGTAGGATGGCTGGAGTTATCTCCAGAATAATGTGGGCAAAGGGGAATTATTCTCACTGTCATCTTTAATCTCCAAGACGGTGTTTTAATTCCTTTATCAGTTACTCATCTCTGGGAAGGGTGGGTTGCTGTGCCATTTGCTTCCTCTCTTCAAGGTGTTGCTTCATCTGAAAGGGCAGAGATGCACCTTGCTGCCCGTGTGACCTGTGCAGTGGTGCTCACCTGTACCAGGTGATGCCTGAAAACGCTCTGGGTGTTTTGTTCTCCACAATAACCTGTGTGTCCATGTTCCTTCCAGAGCCCTGAACAGCAGCCTGTTACCTCTGTCAAACCAGACAAAACTGTCCCTCCCTCCCAAGAGCCGCCGCCGGCCAAGCAGAACCCGAAGGCCCCCGAGGCTGCAGCCGCCCCTCAGGGAGCAGCCAGTGAAGCCCCCAGGGAGGGGATGAAGGAGAAACCATCAGCCACCCCCATGCCCCTGAGCAAGCTCTTCTGGAAAAAGGTATGGCTGGGTTGTGGAGCTGCTCCATCTCCGTGCAGGGAGAGGAGTTATTGCCGAGCACTGTGACAGCAGAGCAGTCAAACCTGCCCGGGAGAGCAGCTCCCATGTGCTAAACTTTGTATGCACGTACAAACACACCCTTGTATCTTTGTCTCCTGGTTTCGTCAAAACACACAAATTCAGTTTGTTAAATCTTGTAATTTTTTATTTAAGTGGAATAAGGAATGTTTTTCTCTGTCAATTCAACGCTTCTGTTAAAAATCCCAGGGAGATCACAGCATTCTTTACCAAATCATATCATTAATAGAGATATATCTGTAAAAACCCATCTCTCTTTTATACCCCATCTTTTGGAACTGTTTGCTTTAGTTCTAGATGTTTAAAAACCTGGAATCTGGTGGGTCTATTCTTACTCAGTAGAAAATGTTCCATGACAGAGCAGATCAGTCTTTAAGTCTGGGCGTTTAGTTGCTTGGGAAGACACATTATTCCTCAGGTTAAATAATGATTTTAACTAAAATTAGGACTAACTCTGAAAACATAGTTCCTGTTTCCATGATCCTCATGGAATCTTCAGTTGAAAGAAGGGCTGTATTAAACTTCACTGAATCACTGTATGTTGAATAACTGCTTTTCTGGGCTTCTGTTCAAGTCCAAATCCCAGAAATTAACTGCTTCCAAACACCCAGATGCTGCTGAGCGGCCCTGCAGCTTCTTTAGCTTGAGCTGGAGATACATTTTGGAAATGTTATTTGTGTAAAAAAAAAAATGAAGGTGTTTAGTAAATATGCACGAAAACAATCCAAGCTTGAAACGTTTGCTAGTTGGGACTTAATTTCCTGGGGAATTGGGTGAATCAGGTGCTCGGAATGAGATGGAAGTTGGGAAGAAGAGGGAGAAGGGAGGGTTTTTTATGTAGTTATTTCTACAGAAACCTCTCACTCTGAGTAGTCTGGCGTATTTGCTGGGAAGCAGGATGTATGTTGAACATCAGGATGAAATAAGGGAAAAAAAAGAGGCCTTCTGGCAGACTGTTTTGTGTAGTTTCAGTGTAAAACAGAGTAATAAATTTGGTCTGAATTCAGCAATTTCATAATGAAGTAACAGAGTCTTTTAAAAAAGAAAAAACACGTAAGAAAGGAAGATTTTCTTGAAGAAAACTAGTGAAAATCATACCTTTGGGGGAGAAATTGGTGATGGCACTTTAAAAAAAAATCTGATAAGGTTTTGGTAAGATTTCTAAACCTTATTTTGAAATATTAACCCAAACTAAAGAAGTTATTGATGTTTTACTGCCCACAGTGAACACCAGCTCTACATATCCCATATTAGAGCTAAATTAGCTCTTGGTCCCTGCTCTGTGCTGCTTTAACCTTGTAACAATCCTCACGTGAAGTCCAGGGATCTCAAACATCTCAGGGGTACAAACCTTGTCCCAAAATTCTTTCACTCCTGTTGGTTGATAACACTGCATTTTTTTTATCCTACACCGTCATCAGCTGCTTATGGAACAGAAAGTTTTGCAGAGAATTCTCTACAAGCAGATTTTTGTTGCTGCCAAAAATACTAAGGGCTGGTTAAAGCACTTACACAAATGCACTGAATTACAGTAGTCTGTGAAACCTGAACTCTGAAAAATGAGCCTGGTTTTGCTTAGTTAGAACTTCTTGGGTCTGGAATCATGCTGAGGCTAAAGTTTTTGCAAGTTTTCTGGAGCGAATTTCTGCAATAGAGAACTGGATTTGGTCCTAAGAATTTAAAAAAAAAAAATCAACCTCTTTGAGCACTGAATCCTCACCTGTAAAAAGCTCGTGTTTCCTTACTGAGATTTCTTGACAGAGAATAATATTTCCTTTGATGAAAGCCCTTGGTGACCCAGTCAGTTTGAAGCTAAAAATAATGAGAGTAGAGGTACCAAAAAAATAAAGTCCTTAGATTACAGGTTAGGCTCAAACTCAGCTTGGTTTGAAGAATCTGTGGGATGTTTTCCTGCAGTGATTTTATCTTTCTGGCACACTCAGTGCACTGTCCTCTTGCTAGGACAGAGAACTGAAGCTGGCAACTGTTCCAATAGGTGTATAATTCAGAGCCAGGAGTAGTTTTCCTTTTGAACTAACAAACAGCAGCCACAACACTCAAAAGATCCAGGACTGAGATCCAGCTTCTCCCTTTCCAGGCAGTCTCTTAAATATCCATCTTCTGATGAACTTTCACTTCAAAGGGAAGCTAATGAAGTGCCTGTCAACACGTTGCAGTTGATGCTGCTGCTCTGACTGCAGATGAATAAATATGGAAAGGGAAAAGGAAAAATTCCTTTTTCAGCTTCTCAGCTGGGAACCACTTTGAATTTGCCCCGTTTCCTGATGGGTCTGCACAGGAGTTTTTGTAACTGTTACTCAAATGTTTGTCATGGCAGCATTTCTTTTCTAATAAGGAATAGTGATAGAAAACTGCAGTTAATGATTTCCAATATTTGTGTTGGAAAGCTGGCTTCAAGGCCTTGTAGGTCTTTCACCAGGGCAGAGGAACAGGATGCTTCATATTTATCTGATCAAGGCAGGCCAGTAAATTGTGGAAGGTGATCAAGGCAGCATTGTTTGGATTGCTCTGTGAACTATCTTTAAAAGCAGATAGATTTTCTTTAAAAAATAGACTTTTCAGCAGTTACAATTCTGCTGTCAAAAAACTGCAGAAAAATTATGCTCTTTTTACTGAGATGTATTTCTGTGCTGATACACAAACAACAAACTGGTTGGCTGTCGGGTGAAGGAGAAGAGTCACGGAAGGGTTTGGGCTGGAAGGGACCTTGAGACAACCTTTTCCACCCCCTGCCATGGGCAGGGACACCTGCCATTGACCAGGTTGCTCCAAGCCCCATCCAGCGTGGCTTTGAACACTTCCAGTCTCCTCAACAACTTCGTGGCCTCCTCTGGACTTGCTCCAACAGTTCCATGTCCAATCTCACCTTTATTGCTGAGCCTTAATTGTGTTTCATCATAAGCAAAAAGAGTGGAGTGTGTGAGGCAAACGTTAAAATGACCCAGGGCTTACCAAGTTCCTGCAGCCCTTTACCTGCTCCCATCCTGGAATACACACCACCTACCATGTGGAAGAGAAGGAGATCTTGGCTGGGTTTTGCTGAGTAAGTGGATGAAGGCGCTTGAAGGAGAATTCCCCCATGGCTGAGGGGGGCAATAAGGTTTGGGGGCTGTTTCGCAGCCTGACTGCTGGCACAGCTGCCACCCTCAGAGCAGGGAAGGACCTTGACCTCCCCAACCCAGGGATTCAGGGGTCAGACCCCACTCCTGGGCTGTCCAGACCTGTGTGCTGTCAGTGGTTCATAGTCTGAGCTGTCACAGCCCAAAACCTGCTTGGTGGCACCTTCAGGCAGTGGCTGCAGGTCACAGGGGCTTTGGGGGGAGGTCCAAGCCCAGGGTGAGGGCTAAAGCTGAGCTGCCTTGACTGCAGCAACCTCTGTTGGCTTTGCCTTGGCCAGGGAGGGCAGGAAGGTGGGTGAAAGTCTCTCCAACCCTCCCTGCTCCCTGCCTGTGAGTCTGGAGCAGATCTCAAGCCTGACTACCCTTTTAAGTGGAAATTTCTTGAACAAAAGGTCATCTTGTATATATTGTTAAGATAAAAGAAAAGCTGCTTCATAGGGGAGGTCTGACCCAGGGAAAGCAGAAGTGCTCCTCGTGTCTAATGAAATGCAGTGGGGAGTGCCAGCTCAGACTGCAGCACGAGATCAAAGCAGGGTGCAGTGTTTATCTCAATTCGGAGGAAAGATGCAGCCAGCCAAAGGAAAACTCCAATCCAAGTTATCCAGGTCACAAAATAAGTTACACTCTCATAAGGCAACGATTTGTGTGCTCAGGAACCCAGATAAGAAAATGGTGTAGTAACAGTTCCCCAAAACAACAGGAGGGTTTGTAAGAACCAGAAGATGTCTCAGAGTAGACACAAACTTTCCACCACAATTGTTTTTAAAAGCTTATTACTGAAAGAAAATTAAGGACATTGTCATTTAAGGGAATAAAAAATGCTTTCAAAACAGTGAAATAAAGAGCACAGTAAAATACTCTTATAAAACACAGCTAGCAAAGATAAGTTAAAATATTATTTTGAAAAAGAAAGCAAAAGCTGCTCTGTAACAGGAAGAAGAAAGGATGGAGCTCATCTTACTTCAAACAAATGTATCTTGAAATGTTTTCTAAATTTGGCAGAGTGCCTTTAACAAAAGAAAAATAAAATAACCCAACAGCCCTTCTGTCCCCATGGTGCATAACTGCAATAACTGCTGACTTAGGCTGAATTGATTAAAATTTGTGTTTAAGGAAACTGGAAGCAGGATCTGGACCCACGAATGCAGCAGCCTCAGCTGCTGCAGTTTATAGGTGTAAGGAGAGAACTTTTATGAGAACATTTATGCATCAAAGCTGACATGAGCCAGGCTGTTTGCAAATTATTATTCTATATAAATTGGAGTTTCTTCCTAAAACTGGTCACAAAACTTGATATAACTTTTGTTTTTCCCTTAAGTGAAGTGAAGAAGCTGAGCCTGTTGCTCTAGAGAACAGTTAATGTAACATCATTCAAAGTTTATTGACTTCAGCTTTGTCAGGTTCTTCCTATTTCACTCTCAGTTCCTGCCAGAAACACCTTGGTGATTTTCTTCAATGCACAAATGGAAATTTTTCTTCAAGTTTCTTAGGGGGAACAGGAACAAAAATTAAAAATTCTTCTTAATTATGTCAGAGAACCTTTGCTGGAAGGGGTTTGGTCATAAGTCTCCATTTGCCACCTCAGCTTTATTTGAGAAGAGGACTTTGAGATGTGGCTGGAGTTTCCTCTTGGCCCAGCATGTCTGAAATACCCTGGTGTGATTGCACAGAAGTTGTGGAACCTCCAGCCTCGGAGGCAGCACAAGCTCAACACAAGCAGTTCCTCAGCAGCTTTCAGCAGGAGGATGGACCAGGCTTCCACAGATATCTTTGAGATCACAAAATTGTGAAAGAAAACCTCACAGCCTCACAGAGGGAGATGGGTTTACAGGAATGGTTTCTGGAGATAATTATGGGAAATTCATACCATTTTTAATAACAAGGCTAAGATCTCAAGCAAGATAAACCATAACTTCCACAACAACTTTGATATAATAATTCCAAATTAAAGTAAGTGCATAGGTGTTTAAGTTAAAGAGAGAAAAAGGTGTTCTAAATCAGGATTTAAACGTTCCTAAAGCCCAGGAGCTTTTCTTGAATTCAAATGAGGGTCAGCACTATCAAAGAGAATGACTGTGACTCGTGGAATTAGGTGAAGGAATAGATGAGCTACTTAACTACCTTGTACCTCAAAAAATCATTTATATCTGTGCAACTGGGAAGAGGAGCTGGGGATGCAGATGTGACCAGCCTGACAATGCTGGGGCTGGGATGTTGCACTTCTGTATTTCACTAGGAACGATGCTATACAGTTTTAACAATTAATAATGCCCACAATGTGTTTTATTTAATCTTATTTCTGCTTCTGTGTGCAAACTCCTGGGTATGATCTTTCTCATATTTACTGGTTTTACCTGAGTGTCATCTTCTCAGGATACATATTGCTGTATGCCATTTCATTTAATTTTTTTTTTTTTAAATTGTAGTTAAATCTAGGTTCTTGCATTTGAGAACTGGTACTGCAGCACAAGAAAGGCCATTTGTTTGATTTATATAAGATGGTGGGATTTTAACACTTATTTACTTTTTTTTTATTTGGGATGAATCAAATTCCTGAAGCAACACGTAGAGATCAGTTAAGCAAAGGATGCTTTCATTACACGTTTGTTCCTGCAGTGCTGCAGCACTTCGTAACCTCTTTAAAGACCCCAAGCAAATCCTCACTGATTAAGTGGGAATGTTTTTTCCCCTTTTTTCGCGTTTCCCAACCCCAGAACGCATCGGAGGAAGCGGAGGCCGTGAGCAACGAGAAAACAGAGGTGTCTTTCGAAGTGGTGGCTCCGGACAGGGCGGAGAGCAAGAGCCCAGAGGGCTCCGAAGTGAAACCCAGAGGGGCAGAAAGCAAAACGCCCAAGACGAATCTGAGGAAGTTTTTCAAGCTGGTAAGCGAAGCTCTGCCGGGATGGAGGTGATTCTTGGGAAATCCTGCGTCTGGGCGGGCGGAGCGTGACCCCCGTCCCCGCAATTCCCCGTCCTGCATCTCCCTCTCGCGGCTCCTCCCGGAACGTTCCGCGGTCCCTTCCCCGCCAGCCCGGGGGCTCCGGTGGCCCTTTCCCTCCCCCAGGTGGCCCAGGGAGCTCCAGGGGTTGAGCTACCGAATGAACCTCAGCTCCACAAGCCGCTTCCCCCGGGATGATGCTCCGGGAGGATCCCATCTCCAAACCCATCTCTCGTTCGTCCAGTGTCCCTGCGTTGTGTTGAGTTCTGCACTTGCTTCAGGGAGTTGTATTTTCAGTAGGTCAATTTTTTTTTTTTTTGGCAGCTTATGTAGGTTAGCTAAACTGGCATGTGAAAGGATGCAGTTGCTGCTGCAAAGGTCTGTTAGACGGAAAAATGGAAGGTATAAAGTAGAATCTAATCCTTTTTCCCAGAAGACCAGAGGGAAGAAGGAAACCACTGAGGTGATCAAGTGGCTGGTATTGTGTTGTGGCTGTAGGTGTGAAATTATCCCGATGGATTTGTGTACAAACAGCCAGACAATATTTCCTAAAAGAGTCCAGAAAAGTGGCCAAGAAAGAAAATAATCCAAGTCTAGAAATAACACGTCTCTGATAAAATCGTAGCAGACCTTGGGGATTTATATAGCAATTGATCTATTTTGGCAAGGTTTACAAATGCACATGGAAGATTTCCATTTTCAGTCAATGCTGGTTTATTTTCAGGCAGCTACATGGTGTGGATATCAGAGTAGCTTAAACATTAAAATGTGGAAAAACGTAGTTTCTTTGAAGCTGATGTAATGGCCAGCCCAGGTGTCTGCCCACAGGTGAATACCTGGTACATACCTGTGAACAGTCATGGTGTCACAGGTTAAACTTCGTGACTCAGACTGTAGGAGTGCACACCACAGCCCAAATCTTGATTTATTTTTTATTTCCAAAAGATTAGCATTTCTTTTATTCTCAGCTGCTTGCTGGGCTCAGCCCAACCTGTGATGGGTTCATTTAGTTTCTGTTCTTGGAGAGTGCTTTACTACAGGGCCACTCTTATGTATTTGAGGATCCAAGCAAAAAAATTCTTAATATCAGCCAGCAATTGTGCACCCAACCTGCTTTTAATTCCACATAAGATTTCAGTCAGCTTATAAAAATCTCCACCTTATTCCTAAATCCTTGTGGTTGTCCTGCATGGAGGCCTGTCAGTGGCACAAGCTGGGCATGCAGAAGGGGAGTTGGGAGCAATGCATTTCAAACACTAACAACTGTGGGGATCATGGCTTCAGATCGTGTCACTCTACCAAAAAATAGCGCCCATTAAAAAAATAAAGCTGTTCCACACCCATCTTAGTCACCATGGAAGAAAACAATGCTGTGTTAAAAGCAGTAGATATATCACTGCTCTAATCAGAGCGGGGATTTAATCCAGATTTCGGCCTAGAAAACAGAACCAGTACTAGACAAACATCTACCCACAGGGGAAAAGAATTGTATTAATGGTTTAGGTGGTTTTGCAGCTTTTTGGAACCTTCAGTATTCATCTGCTTTACTTTTGGCTATTGATTTCCAAACGGATCAAGGATTATTTTAATATCTGTATTGTTCCTGAAGTTTCCTGGGCTGTTTCCTCTGAGTAACTTTGGGATTACTGGATCGCTTCCATGCTTTTGTACAGAAGCAGTTGCCCAACAGCTTTGTGCCAGCTGCTCAGTCAGTATTTCTGATTCTGAAGGCAGACACAAGGATTTTAAGCCACTGCTGAACAGGTACTTTCTGTAAAGCTTTTGAACTAGTGGTGAGTGCTGCAAATGGGTGAAATGTCTGAAATTCCAACACGGGCTTGATTTTTCTCACAAGGAAAAGTCAGGGAAGCTCCAGGGCTGTCGAGAGCTGAGATGGACTCTGCAGAGATGTCTAATAGGGCTTTTTGCTCAGCAGAGATTCACTGGAAGGTGTAATTTCCACTCAGAAAAGGTTTCTACTGTAGTTTTGTCCAGAGGTTTGGCTGTCCTACAGGAGCAGCCATAAAGTGGAGGGAGAAATTCTTCTCTGTGAGGGTGGGGAGACCCTGGCACAGGTTGCCCAGAGAAGCTGTGGCTGCCCCATCCCTGGAAGTGTCCAAGGCCAGGCTGAACAGGGCTTGGAGCAACCTGGGCTAGTGGGAGGTTATTAGACCAATAATACCTCTTAGAAGAGGTTGACTTTTAATTTTATATTAATACGATTCTTTACTGGGTTTCTCTTCTGCCTGCAGAGGAAGGTATTCTGACAACATCCACAGTTTTATGTCACACAGGTCACCCCCAGGTGCCCAAGGAAAGGTAGTTTAGCATTTTAGGATTCAAGACTGGTACCTAGAAATTAAGATTAATTCTTTTGCAGTCTATTGTGAACCTCCAACAGGCAAGTCAGTTATTCTCCAGATGCCCCAGTTTTGACATTATTGTCCTCAGAAAGCACAAGCACGGGGTGACAGCAAGGAGACATTTAGATCCATAGCACTGTAATTGCTGCTGTTGACACAAGGAGAAGCCATTGGGAGAACCAGGAGGAATTTCCCTTGGAAAAGGCAGTGTGTATCCCAAAGACTGCCTGCTGACTTGCTCAGTGCAGATGTCCGTTCTTATTTGTGCTTGCAAAGGTCACAAAAGCCACTGCTGTGATTAAAATAGGAGAGGGTTAACTAATACTATAAAAGATATTGGGAAATTATAGCAAGACAAAGTATTAGTCTAAATCCCTGGAATTCAATAAGAGATGAAGAAATAGCACTGCTCTTTTATCGAAGTAATCCACCTACGTGGATTTGAAATCCAGCTGAAAGTCATTCCAGCCTCATTAATCAAAAATCAAACAGTTATTGTGTTATTTCCAGGGTGGGATATATCAGAGCCAGTGCAGGTGTCCTGATAGAGATGTTACACCTGAATTAATCACCCCAGGTCCCCTTGTGGAGGCTGAGCAGGTCTGAGAGCCCCTTAGGACACGTCAGATGACGTAAGCCCTGAAAGTTCCTGCATAGGATATAAACAGGTGCAAAGCTAAATAAGAGAAAATCCTTTCAAAATGGCTGGTTTGAGATATTTTGTGGAGATAAGAAGGGTGTAAACTGGCATTTTTAATAAGAATGAGATAATTGCCAACTGTAAACTGAGGCTGTATCTTTGTCCTCAGCCAGGAAGTTTATTGGCAGCACAGATGGTCTAAGATAGTGTTGAGTATGGATGCTCCCAAGGAGAGTTTATCTTTTTGGGATAACTAAATATTGTTTCCACATTGTCTGCTGCGTCTGTGCTGGCCTCCTTCCCCATGTAAATAAACCTTTAGGCAATAAATAGCATTTGGAATCAAGAATACCTATTTTATGCTGTCACAACTTAACTTTTCTTCATTATTCATGAAAATGTAGCAAATGGGTTGGCTGTCCCCACCTTCCTCCATTTAAAGATGTGCTGATCCACCCCTTATTGCCACAGAAAGCAGGGGGAGGGTTTGGGAAGCTCTGGGCAGCAGCAATCCTAAGTGACCAAAGGCAAGGATAAGAGGTCAGAAGTGCTGGAGAGAAATCCTTGGGATCGTGTCTCACTGACAGCAAGAGGGAACTCTGTCTAGACATCAAGGTCTTTACTCTGTTATTTTTGGTGAAATAAATAAAAATAAATAATGAAAAAAAAAGAGAGAGATGGATTACTAGATGTTGGCTAAAGCAGGGCTATTTTTTTTCTGGGTTTGGGGTGTTTAGGGGGGGAAAAGTAACACTGATGGATGTCACAGCACAAACTTTTTTTTTCTGGAGGCATCTGAGCCTTGCTGAGATAGAAATGTGAACTAGATCTTATCACAGCACATCTTCATACACTCTGGACTGAGTTTGTCTCCTGCAGTGTAAAGACAGACCACGCTGTGCTTCCTCCCCTCCATTTCTGCAACCTCTTGCACAGATAAAGCGTCACGAACACAAACACAGGAGACTGAGCAACAACGTGTTCCGGAGAGAATTTTTCCCACAAAAGTAATGAATTGTCACGGAGTGGTTTGGTTTCCTATCCTGCTGCTGGCACATATTGATTTTCTGTGGTTTTATAGGAAAATCAGGGGCCGAAATAGGTCCTTGCAATAACACCATTTGTAGGATGGAGCTGACACTGTTGTGCTTCAAGTTACAAATCTACAAGCTGCAGAAAACCACAATTCCGCCTGATCTATCTTTAGAACAAAAGTCACATCCTTTCATTGTTTTCATTGAACTTAGGCAATGAAAAATGACATTTAAATTTGGGCTCTTTGAAATTCTGGAGTTTATTTTACGCTTTGCTGCTGAGCTCTGTGGCTTGTACAGCACTCAGGGGAATACCACAGAACACGGCTCCTAATTACAAATGTACACTCCACTCCTGTGCTTTCTGTGGCACTAATTGTGACTAAAGCTTAATTTAACTGTCACAAAGCTTGTGATATTTACTCCTTGAGCTAGTTTTGTCAAACAGGGCTTTCTCATTTTTAAAGCTAAATGGAAACAGGGGATTGTACCTTAAAAAAGGTATTTCAGAGTCAAGGTTTGCTCTGAGTGACCTCTCTCAGCGCTGCAGCCTCAGGGTCTGCTTGGATTGGGAAGAGTGGGCACCAAGGAGGGCTATCACTTAGATGTGTACAGACTGCAGGCATAAACTGGGAAGCAAAAATTGGGAATAAATGGACGCTGATGATAAATTATAAAAATACACCTATAGAGCTGAGTGGGTTTTAATTATTCACAGGACATGCACTTAGTGGGATGGTTGGATAGAGAGGAAGTCCCACTAGATCTTGTGAGATGGATTTGGCTCTGCAAAGCAAAAAAAGCTCTTTCCTAGAAAACTGCAATGGCAGGGCTGATAGCACTGTCTTGTTTAGGACTGATATGATCTCAGGTCCACTGAGACCTCGCTCAAGTTTCTCCTTTTTTCTTAATGGGAAAATTGACTTGCAAGAAACAGACTGACAGGAAAAAAAACCTGCAAAATCTACCTGGGGGTTGTGGGTATTTCAGAAACGTTGGTGGAGTTTCTGAAGCGTCTGGTTTTGTTTTAGTGTTGCAAAGAGCGGCCTTAAATCAAACCTTTATTCATGTGTGTCTTCTTAGTGAATGAACCCTGTTAGAAGTCCTGTAACCCTTTGTTATTTTAGTCAGTCAAGGGTGATGGAGGGACAGCCAGTTCCGAAGTGGTAAATGGCCCCAGTCACCACGTAAGTGCCTGGATTTTTTCATCTTTTGGTGATGGGTTCCTGCCACCTCCATCCATACAATCCTGCCTTTTGAAATGTAAAAATCACCGAGAGAAAAGTTGCTCCATGCTCGTTGATTTCTTTCCTTATCTATTTATTTTACCTATTCGTGCTATTATACAAGATTTTAAAGGGTCACTATCAGATTTTAAAACAAACACCAAACTTTTTTCCAGGTCTGTTTTTTTTTCTTAAATCAATTAGTGAGTTTACAATCAGGTTTACTCCTCTCTCTTGCTGCTATTTTAACTTCTGCATGTAGCTTGGCTTAGGCAGTGAAACTAAATACACACAGCTAGAATTATTTTTATTTTGTTGATTTACTTGTCTTCTGAGGAAAAGATCATTTACGTGCAAACTCTGTAAAGGAGAAATGAAACTGAGAATGAAAACTGTTCACTGCAATTTAACAAAAGCCATGGTAGTATTTTTTCTTATTCTGTTTTTGTTTCTTTCATTCTGTGTTCATAAAAGCTAAGCCAAAACTTTGGATGTGACATTTACATTATATTCTGCATGCCTTTAAAATGCTTCAGAAAAATTATATTTTCATTAGAAATACAAATACTGTTACCTTGTGTGAGAACAAAAACCTCATCTGTTGCAAGGCAAGATACCCAGAAGGACTACTTTGAGTAATCTTTCAGTAATCAAAGGTAAAACAAGGCTCTTTAAGAGAAAAACTGAAGTTGTATTAAAAACTGACATTTCAGAATTTCCTTTTTTAATTAACGGTAAAACTATTTTTCACTCTTCCTATTTTCATTATGTCTTATGACACCAAGGTTAATCTTTATGAATTAGTCACTAAAAGCATCCCAAATACAGAAGTCCTGTCTTGTGACATTTGCTCCTTATTTCATACAACAGTTTTGTGAAGTGATCTGGGTAAAACACTAAAAGTTACAGTCCTGGATCTACTTTTTATTATTTTAATTAGCAGCCAGTTGCCTTCCATTTTTGTAAATCACCTTACTATTCTTCCTCCTTCTCTCCCTTGCCCTGATGTAAATTTAGAACAGTTTTATTACACAGAAAAGCCCAGTGAAAACTAGATCTGATGTTGACTTTTCTGGGGGATTTCTGTGAAAGGATCTCCTTGAATTATGCCATTATGTCCCTGGAATGCTGTGATTCTTCTCCACTTTCCATCACTGCCATTCTGAATGCTACAGAAATTTATTACAGCACTGACACAAAATCTGCAGAAATTTCGGAGTCTGCCTTTTTCACTCAAAAATCAGCCTTGGATTAAGGTCTCCTGTAACACGATGGGGAAAATACTCTGCTGTTCATCTTTTCTTTCTCTATTTCTGTTGCACTGCCAGCGTTGAGAGAGGAAAAGCAATCTGTCAGGTGCAGCTCACCCTTTAGAATAAGAAACATTAACATGTTTCATTATTCATAGGCTTCACTTCGTATTTCCTGAGCTGCTCCCATCAATATCAAATATGCCAATTTCCTGCCTTTCAAGGTTAATATGAAACACCTCAAAGAGATTATCTGATAGGAGTGGGGGTTTTTTTCCCCCTCTTATTTTGCCTGGAAAATGTATTATGAATATTTTTTAAAAAGTGTTTTGTTTGACTAACATCAAAGGCCCAACCTGCTCGTAGAAATAATCCTGTTGCATCCCACTCATGGCTCAGTCCTGAACAACCAAGCACGTGTGGTGAGGAAGACCCTAATTTTACACCCACAGAGCAAACCCACAGATTTCACAGAGTGTTCATAAGGGTCAGAGGTTGTTCTGGCACCTCTGAACTCAGAGGTGTCCAGTCTCAGAGCTATATTCAGTCTCAGAGCTGTATTTTGGGTGCTGTGGTTGTTTTTGAACTGAACGTGCACGTTTGCAACTGCACCAAAGAGACATTTCAAAAGCTGAGACAAATAAGAGTAAGAAGGAGCAGCAGCTGGACTGAGAGTTAAACTGAGTGAAACAGAGGGAGACACAATTAAATCTGACTTTCTGTTCGTCCTCGTGCTGGGAAAACACCTGCATCACTTGAGCCACTCAAAAGTGCATCTGAACAGGTCTTTTTTTCTCAGGTGAGGTGAAGAAGACACACATAGAGTGTGGTGTCTGTGCAGCCTCACAAGACAGTTCTCCTTTATTCTGAATTACTGAATTTGCTTGAATAAAGTATTGACACTCAGGTGGTGTGTGAGGCCACTGATCACCTCCATCTCCATGGCTTCTCCAGGGGCTGCATCCTGCAGATCCAGAGCAAAGACAAGCTCCTGACTGGACTTTTAACTCTAAGGGCAGACAAACCCAGATGTAAGGAAATATATACCCACATATGTCTGGCCTTTGGACAAAGAAATAGTTCAACACAAGCAATTGTTTTGTGAAGGACTTGAGCCTACTGGTCAAGACTGAATGTATTAAATGTTTGCAGGTTCTATAACTTAAATTTGGGTTTTTTTAAGATTGGGTGTGGAAGAAAGGTGAATCAAGTGAAAAAAGCAAGCCTTGCTACCCCCTCTCGTTCTTGTTTCCCCAAAATTAGAATGGCTTGAGGGTATTTTTAAAAATAGATACAAGAGGAGTATTTGCATTGTGTTTCTCTAGAGCCTCTACCTTCAGGTTTTTCTCTGAAATCACAGTATCTAAAAATGTGTTTGTTTTTAGTGAAACCTGAGCCTGTCATGTAAGCACAAAACCCCTAGAAGAACAGCAAATATTTCAACACTAACAGTAAAATCCCCAAAGCTGTAAAAATTAAATAGCATTAAGCTCTGGGCCATGCCCTGGGGGGAGATGTAAGATTTCCAGCTTTTCAACCTGGAAATCTGGCAACCTTTTCAACCTGGCAAATTTGTGCTGTTTTAATGATGTTAATAGATAGAGCAATATGATCCTTTTTTTTGCAAAAGAAAAAAAGAAAATCCCATTTGCAAATAGATTTCCAGGCAAAGCATCATCATTTGCTACTCTCCAAACAGTGACAGTTTCATTGTCTGATCCTTTGTTTGTCACATATGATTTTTCTCCTGTGAACCTCAAACATATCCTGCACTTCTCCAAGTTTTCTATACTATGAATAGTTTGCTCTGTGATTGTGTTTCTTTGGAAGATTTGCTGTCTCTTCTTTTGCACTTGTACATGAAATTTTCTAAGATGCTGTGGCCTTCCATAGCCAAACCCTGTCCCGTTAATTTTTGGATAGAGTGTTGCAGTCTTGCAGCAGATTTGTTTTTATCATTTGCTTTATGGTACCTTTTGCCTCTTTTCTCTCCCAAATCTTTCCCTTGCCCTTTTTGGGTACTTTCACTGTTTGGGATGCAAAATCTGGAGGAGTCTTAGTGGGCAGTGCCTCCTTGTGACTCTGCATCTCTCTGTGCATGTTCTCTGCCTCTAAACCAGCTTCAGCAGAGACACAGACAGAAATAAGGCAGGTTTATGCAGGATGGTTTGATCTTGCAGTCTTTGCTCATGTGAGTAATTCCACCAGCTCCCCGGGAGCCCTTCCCTTGAGCAGAGGCTGCAGGAGTTCATCCCAACCTCTGTAAATGAAAACCCATTGGACAGCAGGCTTTCTCCCTGCCAGGTGGCCTTTCCTTTTTTTTTGGTGTTGTTTTTTTTTTTTATAACATATTTATGGATTGCCTTCCAAAATATTTATATTTCCCACTGAAAATAACCCTTGTCTGACACCGCTGCAGACGTTAAATGCCACAGAGAGGCCACTTGCCCCGGCTGAAGGTGACCCTGTGGGCCAGAGGAGCAAGGAGAGCTCCAAAGACAAGAAGTCCACGGTGGAGCTGAGCAAGCAGAAGGGCAGCAAACAGGAGAACAGGGAGCAGCCAGACCCCCGGGAGCAGCCGGCAGCCGACACCGACTCCATCCAGAACGGAGGAGACGCTTCCAAGGAACCCTCCTACAAGAAGACAGAGAAGAGGCAGTCCCTGGGAGGGTTTTTCAAGGGCCTTGTATGTTAATTCACCTTCTCTTTTTAGTGTTTCCCAGCTGTTTAACCGCCCAGCCTGTAGGTTGTTGTCCATGGGGGATTTGTGCTGGGAGGGAGTGCAGCTTCACCGGCAGCTTTGCAGGGCTTGGGCAAAAGAACTGCAAGATTTTGGGCAAAGGAGGGAATTCTGGGCCTCAAGGTACTGATTCACAGGTAGGGTTTGCTATGGGAGAGCTGTAATTGTTCCCACACCACTGTTTTTGGGGTTCATGCTTTGGCTATGGGGATGACTACACTGCTCCTGTAGCAGGCACTGAACCACCTACAAATTAGGGTGTGTTTATAAGGGAAAAGTGGAGGTGGTGCTGGTTTACCAGAGTAACCTGCCTGCTCTAAACCACCCTGATGGTGGTTCAGTGTCTACTTCAGAGCAGCTAGGATATCCTTGCAAAATGGGAAATCCCTGCAAGGAAAAAACCAAAGGAGACCACTGGGGTGGGTAGGAACCAGCACAGTGGTCACAAGATAAGCACCTTGTGTCAGCAATCAGTGATAGACTCGTTAAAGCACACAAAAAGTACACAGGGTATTTTTTTCTTGTTGCCTTTTGTTAAATCTTAGCCTAAATTTGCTGTGCCCCCTTCACTGAAACCTGAAATGCAGAAATGAAAGAATTTAGCACACTGAAACTCTGAGTTTCCAGAAGACTTGGTGTTACTGGTGCAACTGGTCAGAGCATTTAATAGATGGAGATTTATTTTTCTGCCTGTCCGTATTCAGAGGCACATGTAGAAACAGAAGCACAGGTTAGACCTGGGACTGCCTCTTAAGCCTTGGCAAGAGGCTTTTTATAAATCAGTTGGAAGGATGCAGCTTAAACCTCTTTCCTCACATTGCCACAGCAACAATGGATCTGCAGCGCTGTGGGGTCATTTTTAGCATCTTTTGGAAACTTAGTGTGCAAACCAAACTTCACCACAACTTTCAAGTGATGCAAAGAAACTCAGCAGATGTGTCTGTTGCCTGCAATGATTCCTAGTGAATCTGGCTGCCCTAAGAGGTGTGCAGCTTGCTTTGTCCTTCCTCCCTTCCTCACTTCTAAGGCTGTCAGGGCAGAAGCAGAGCCGGGCAACCCTTCAAGAAGAAAAGTCAGGCAATATAGATTGAAATACTGACTCAGAGCTGGAAACCAGCCCAGTTAGGACACTGGGTTATAAAGCCACTGCCATGCACACCAGTGTGACTCGTTCCAAGGCAGATGTTTTTCCACATCAGAAGAAGTGCTTTATTTGCACCATTTCACAGAATTACTGTGTATCCTACAGAGGGCAATTCGCATCACCAAAGTAAGGACATATTACAAGGAGAATTAAGAACAAAAGAGAAATAACTTCTTGCAGTAGAGATTAGCAACAGTTCAGCCTCATTTTTCTGGGGTAAAATCCTGGTCCACCATGGATCAGTGGGGTTTTCCTGTAGTTTCAATGGAGCAAAGTGTTGGAGCTCACCTGGAGTAAAAACCAACTTGCATTGGCTTCTGCTCATCTTGTCTCCCAGTGAAGCCACGACGAGAAATCCTTTTGCTTAATATACCATGAAAAAGCCGGAGTTATATGATGATACTGGTTATACAGCTCTGTGAAGCTGTGAGCTGACTGAAGCTACCAAAGACACACACACGTGTTTTTCTTTCTTAGTCCCCCTTTGCCTCCAAATTCTGTGTGGATTTTCGTTGTGCCCAGCATTGGTGCAAGGGTGTGACGTGATCCACGCTCACAAACGTGGTGTGTGGGTGTCATATCCTGCTCTGGGTACTGCCAGCTTCCAGGAGGAGCAGGGCTGCTGTTACTTAAGCTGCTTGGATGGTGGTGACACATCTCATGTCAGCTGGAGGGGATGAAGGCAGCCACATTTTTCTAGCACATGTTGTCTAGAAATTAGGCAAATGTTACCTGCCACTATTATTTCTGGAGAAAAGTGAGATTTGTTTCTCTGGTCTGAAGTTTTCTTGAAGTTAAGCCCTCCCTTGTTGTAGTTCTCACTGTGTGAGAAAGGGTTTATCTGTTGATAGTCACTCTTTATTTTGTATAGTGTCATTCATTCAAGCTGTATCCAAAAATCCTTCGTAGAGTTTAGCAACAGTTACAAATCTAAAATTATTCTGGAAAGGAAGATATGAGGAAGTGCAAGTTAACAAGGAAACAGTCTTTCAAGGGCAACATCATGAGAGATACAGAGAGAGGCAGGAAAGGTGTCTCAGATTCAAAAGGCAAGAAAAAGCTTTTAGATCAAGAGAGGAGATTGTGAAGAGGTAAAAAGACCATTTGGGGAATAAAACACGGAATAAATGTAGAGGAAGTAGAGATGTTCTGTGAGATCTTTTTGCTTGCCTCAGTTTGGCTGTATAGCTCCTTATCTTGTGTTGCAATTATAGAGGCCAACAGTACTCCTGCAGCTTCCTTCTTCCATTAACAGAAGATGGCTCTTAAAAAAAAGTATTTGATAACAGTTAAGCTGCTTTGGTCAGTTTATTGTGCTTTTAAAGTGGCTGGGGGGAAAAAAAACAAACCCATTACAATGAGGTCTGTGTATGGAACATCTCTCATGAAAAATTACCACCTCTCTTTGAATATCCTCAGGAAGATTATCCATACCTAAGAAACCCAGTTCTGCAACGCTCCTAAAAATAATCTACATCTCCCAGGTGATCAGACTCAGCCCCAGGAAGGTGTAATCATTAATCTCAAAGTATTAGATCACACACACAAACCAATGCCAGAATCTCCATTTCAAGATAAGAGCTTGAGTATTTGGTGGCAAGTCAGCAGAAAAATTCAGCTTTATGCTGATAAAAGGGAAGGAGGAAATATTTAACAGGGGCTGCAGCAGCTGCCGTGCCCTGTGCCCACTGAGCTCCTCCCGTTCTGCTATTTCAGTAGCAGATATTTTAACACCACTCTCTCCTGGATCTCGATTCCTCTGGGAAAGGGCACAGAGCAAGAGGATGTCAGACTGCAGGAATGCAGCTGATGAGAACACTGCAGTTCCAGCATCTGCTCCCAGTGGGGCCAACAAAGGCTGAAATTTTGGCTACAAATGACGCCACTTATGCAAGCAAAGAGTGTTCCAGCCCTGCGTGGTTTCAGCACAGCTGATAAGGTCCAGTGGTTGTTCCTATGGCAAAAGAGATTAATTTATAAGCTATATAAAATGTATTTAGTGAGTCTTAGAGAGATTAGATTAGAAAGAAGCAGAAAAGGGGAGGGGGGGGGAAAAGGTTAATGACATTGTTTTCTGAGCTGGAATAACTCATGCTCAAGTTGTCAGAAGCTGGGAGAGCTTAGCATGTGGAAACTACTGGGACCTGTTCTGCCCAGAGTATCTGCCCCACTGACACAGGTTTCTCCTGTGTAAAATCTGGGAAAAAAATATACTCCGATACCATGACATTCCTGCGTGTGCACTTTAAAGTGCTCTGCCCAAAATAATATATTCCAGCTTAGCTGCCAACTTCCACTGCGCTGCAAGACAGGAGCCAGTGGTACCTGTGCTGCTGAATCCGAGGGCAGAGCTGGAATTTGTCTGTTAAAAGGGCAGGAACAAAGTTCTTTATTTCACACCTGGCTTGGAAATTCCAGTTAAACGAGAATCATCAGCCAGTCTCCCTCCGAGCTTCCTGCTTTAATCAGCAACCACCTCGAAAATGGGTGCAGCAGGGAGACTGCAGTATGAGCAAATAACATGACACCACTGCAAATGTGCTAAATGAGTCAAAAATGGGGATTATCTCAAATGAGCTCCCCCTCCTGTCTCCTCCCTCCACCTATTTATAGGAAGAATGGCAAATAGTATCATCCTGTTTCCTAGATTAGTCTAGAAGTGGCTTAATATCTTCATGCCCAGACAGGAACAGCTATAGCTGACAGACTCCATTACTCTTTTAATGTGGGAAATCTTTTACCTGATGTGTAGGTTTTTAGGGTTGCTGGATAAATTTGGAATTACTAGGTCCTTGGTATTGTTTGATGGATAAGTGATGGATTTGTTGCTGCACGTAAATGGCCAAAAAATTTTATTCTGCTCTAGAGAACCTTCCAGACTCGACATCAGTGGAAGCAGAAGCAAACCCACTGCAGCCAGTTGAGCTGCACAAGGTTACAGTTAAGACAGGGGATTCTTTCAGTCCATTGTGATTTTTGGCTGCTCTTTTTCATACTTAGATTCTCAAAGGTGAAAATTTGAGAAGATCAGTGAGGTGGAGTGTAATCAGTATAAAAACCCCACTGTTTTTACTTCCCTGAAAGGGGTGAGGAAGTTGAAATCTTTCACTCTCCATGTCTGACACAGAATTGTCCTGAAGTGATGAGTCAGGTTTCCAGCAGAAACAGACTGTGTGAAAGGACAATTCACATATGAATCTGCACAGTTCCCATTGTAGGGAAAGCACACAGCAGTTACCTTTAGCTTTGTCAGTTTTTTCTGTTTAGCATGTAATGATTTGGGCATTTGGCTACAAACAGCATGGGCATCCCATGCACTGTTAACAGTGATCTCTGAAACGCTGTTTGTGAGTCCATTTTGCTGTCACGTTCTGAGGTTTTGATGACTTCAAGGCCGGTAAAATTAGGTCAAGCACCTTAAACTAAAGCCAAGTTTTTATCAGTTACCAGTGAAAAATGTAGTTGGTATAGCTGGAGCTATACGTTTCCTTCATCTAAGCTGGATTAGTGTCTTGAATTGGTGCCAAACACAGAATTATATTTGCAGTGTAAGAGAAGCTTTATCACTCTAACATTGTAGAATACCTGTCATGCATAAAAGTATTTAATGTTCCCTTAACCTAGAGCAGACCAAGGCTGGCTATAATACACTATTAATCATGCTTGAAGGACTCTTAGCATGGTTTCAGTGAAGCATTTAGGCCAGGGAAATTTTAGAGAAAGTTATGCCAAAAACCCAGTACTACAAGCACAGCAGCTTGGCTCTGGTGTGTTAGTCCAGTGTCTGAAAACAATTGTTTTCCATGCCAATTGAGAAAATTATATTAAAATAACTGACACATTTAGGCAAAATCACAAGCAGTAGATTTCTGGGATTCTCATGATGCAGGTAGTGCTCATATGCTTATGTATATTAAATAAAGGGCAAAGGAAAAAAAGCAGGGAGGTGAAAGGAGTGGGAAACGTCTGCTAGCAAAACTCTAAGACAAAATTCCAGACTTAACCATTCTGAAGTATTTGAAAGTGTTTCTAAAGATCTCTCTCTTATTCCACAGGGTTCCAAAAGGATGTCTGATGCAGAGGTGCAAACAGATCCAGTGTCCATCCTACCTGCTGGGAAATCCAAGTAATGACTCCACGTGGCTGCTGGAGGCTCAGCAGCTCTCTGTGAGCTCCCTTGCAGTAGACATGACTCATTCCTTTCCTTTACATGGCTGTCATCAAATGCCTGAGGCTAAAGCAAACACTGGTGTATCATTTAAGGTATATCATTTACAGGGTTTGTTCCTTAGATGTTAGAAAGCGACTCTAAAGATCAGCAAGTAACGTGTTGTATGTTTAAAGAGAGGTCGTGTGGATGATTTTAAATCTGTAGAGGGTAGGGTATGTAAGGTAGGAAGGTGGCAGTGAACTAAAAAAAAAGGCAGGAAAAAAATGCACGTGACAAAAGAATGTAGATTGGGCAGCAAGGCACGAGCAACAAACCCTCCGCTTTAGAGAGCTTTAAAGCAGCCAGGAAAAACAAAAATCTCCTTTGATAAATGTTATACTCAAATGTAAAAACAACCGAGTCACTTTTTGTGGTTTCTCAATAGAGCTGAAATTAGCTAAAAAAAAAAGCCTGCAGAATAATAGAATCAGTGGTTATAAAGTTATGCTTCCTATTGGTTATTAATGGAAATTAAAACGCTAAAATGTAAAGGCTTTACGTGATTGAGACAGCGTCTCTCTCGTCTGGGTGAGGTGGGATAACAAATTAAAAGCTATTTAAGGTTCTAATAGGAACACAAGAGGGCACCCACGTCCCCGTGCACTCCTAACACCAGGCTGTACCTACAATCCTGGGATTAATGTTTCTCAGATCATAGGAAACTTAGTTGTTTGTTCAGATATTTGTTTATATCCGTACTTGTAATTAATCCTAATAAAAACCAAAATCAAAGCTGTCCAGGCACCTCCCTGCTTCACAAGACTCCTATAATAACTGTAGTTAATAAATTTTACAGAAAATTAAGATTTCTGTTTGTTCAGTCCTGGGCAAACCTGTACAGGGAGCCACAGGCCTGATATTTTAATCCACACTAGCATCTGAATGATACAGTAGTGTATATTTTGACCTCCTTATCTTTAAATAAACTAATGCTTATCCTTTGGAAAAAAAGATCCTTTGCTGCTTTAATTTTAAAACAAAGTTTGTTATTTATGTCCCTGTGGTCTGACGATTGACATGACATTAAGGCAGAAATGAGCACATACAACCCCTGCCTGTGGAGGGAATAGCTGTTATTCATTCTTTATTGGAGTGAAGATTATAACTGGAAATCAGGGGAGAATTCTGTAAAATCCACAGAAATCCAGTTCTAACTAGTCAGAGAGGACAGAGGTAAAGAGCTTTGTTTGTCCATGAGCCACTGTAGGTAGGTTGTGCTTTTGCAAACCTGCAGATTTGGGGTGAACAACCAAAACTTGCTGCTGGTTCCATGCACAGGGAGCACAGACAAAAGGTTCTTCAGCTCTAATGGTACTTTCTGTTCCCCTCCCTGGCACAATGGGCCTCTCATGCCATATAAAGTGATATCAATCAAGAGGGACCGTTTACAGATCTCCAACTGATTTGTAATGTCCTGCTTGTACATCTGTGTGGGACCAGTGACTCCGGTGCATCCCCTGTTACGGCAGCATGAGAGAAGAACTGGGCTTGTTATGTCCAGCCCTGCTACACACACACAGAGAAAAAAAAGAAGTTTTAGGCTTTGTCTACATTACAGGAGCTTTAATTAAATCAGTGCATGTAAGGCTACATACAGGGAGACAACCACCATGGTTACACAGTGGTATGAAAGTGCCAGATGTCAGCACAGTGTGTGTTACCAGAGCAGAGAATAAGCTGCTGACTTCACACTGCTGTAGTTGCCTCTGTGTTAGAATAGTATTTGGGCATTTTTCAAATAAAAATATGCTCAGTTACATTACAGAATCTCAGAATGGGTTGGATTGGAAGGGACCTTAAAGATCATCCCGTTCCACCCCCCGCCATGGGCAGGGACACCTCCCACTAGACCAGGTTGCTCCAAGCCCCCGTCCAACCTGGCCTTGGACACTTCCAGGGATGGGGCAGCCACAGCTTCTCTGGGCACCCTGTGCCAGGGCCTCCTCACCCTCACAGGGAGGAATTTTTCCCTAGTATCCCATCTAACACTACTCTCTGTCAGTTTGAAGCCGTTGCCCCTTGTCCTGTCACTCCAGGCTCTTGCAAAAAGTCTCTCTCCATTTTTCTTGTAGCTCCTTCAGGTGTTGGAAGGCCACAGTTAGGTTACCCCAAAGCCTTCTCTTTTCCAGGATGAAAATTCAGACTGTATTTATATTACTATATTATAAACAGTGTAGATATCAATATTATATTATGGATAGATCAGACCTTCTGTGGAAGAGAGCAACCCTTCCCCAGTCCACTCCTTAGGAGCAGGTCCGTGCTGGTTGCACTCTGCATTCCCGAGGCCATTAGGACTGCTGACCACGTGACTGGACCGTATCACTTGGCAGTGGGGCTAATTTCAGGAATCAGGAAATCCTCTTGGCAGAAAAACAAGAAAAACAGTGAGTTTGGCTGTAGATGCCCCTCATGCCACGGAGCTATTATTGCAGATGAAATAACGGTTAGTGTTGGCACTGCCTCCCACTGAGAAACTGCCCCAATTGTTTGATTCCTCTCTGATAACAGGAACAACACAAGCTTTGAAGAAGCCAGTCAGCCTTCTCATAAAGCAGCAACACATGGAGCCCCCAGAGGAAGAAAGGTCTTAGGAGATGCATCCCCAGTTAAGTTGAGCTTCCGCATTCCACATGCCATATAAGAAACATAAAAGTACAGCTTTTATGTTCGGGCCGGTAAAGCTTAACAAGTCATTTGGAAATCAAAGCTTTGGAAGAGGCTGCAGTCCAAGACAAAGGAAAAGAGCAGCCAAAGCAATACATTGCATTTAGAGACTGTTGTCAACAAATAAGCTCTGGCTTGTAAGATCTTTTGAAGCAGCTCAGACTGTTTCAAGGATCTTAAGATGTGTTTCATGTAGGCATTTTGTAAGAATTTTAAGCAGATAGTGCTTAATATAGATATATCTCATAAATATAAAAGGGAATGGATTAAAATTGCTACTTTTTGTGTAAGGAGTGCTTCCCTCCAATGGACAGATGTTTATCTCCCCCTCAATACAAGAGCAGGTTCCCAGGTGGAGTTCCTGGCTCTGCCTCAGGTGTCCATCCTGCTGTTCCCAGGACAAGCCCCCAGTGAGCTGAGTTCATCACTGCACGCAGGGGTTGGGTGCTGCAGGTTCTCCTGACCTGAAAGCAAATTATCTCCATGGAAGTGTATCTGAGCTCAATTGTTCTTCTCTGGAAGGTGTCCAGATGTGTAACTGCGCTGCCTTTCAGGAAGGTTTTACAGATAACTCCTGGCAGAGCTGCCCTGCACTGACCCCACCACGCTCAGCCCCAGCAGGACAACATGATCTCCGGTCCCAACTGTCCGTCCATTAACCAGCCGCTAATTACACACACCAGGTGATTGCACTTTAGCAGCTATTCCTTATTTGGTGTAAGCATTGTCTACAGACCACAAAAAAAACCCAAAAGCCTGGTGGTTTTCCAGCCTGTCTAGTGGCTGTCTCTTGAGGGGTGTCTATGAGGGGGCCCTGTTGGAGGTCATGCATCTTCATGTCCCACACCCATCTCCATGTCCCACACCCATCTCCACGTCCCAGGCCCATCTCCATGTCCAACCAACCACCTGCCCAAAGTCTCCTGTCCCCAGGGTGGAGAGGGGGACTGGCAGACTTGTTACACTTCCCCTGACATTTTAGGGGATAGAGGGACACTGAGGCAGTGCTGAGGGCTGGGTTCCTGTGCCCGTGCTCAGGGACAGTAGGTGTGTGATGGCTGCTGTGGCCCTGCTGGGCCATATTGGGGCATACTGGGGGCTGCAAAGTGTCCATGAAGGATGAGGAACCATGCAGGGGGTCACAGAAAGGGAGAGGCCTGGCTGCACGTGACCTGTTGGACTGAGGTGTTGCTGGCACCAAACCATTGCTGGTTTTTTTGGGGACACCACAGCTGGTGCCCCAAACCTGTCCATGGGCTATTGGGCCCCCTCCACCTCCTCCACCTCCACTCTGGCCTGGACAAACCTGGGGGGCTGTCCAGGAGCTTTTGAGAATCCCAGCTCCTGCGAATATGTGCCTGAAAAGACCATAATTGCACTCTTGATCCTGTATAATTGGATCTCGGGAGGTTCCTGTTGGCCACCTGGCTGCTGACAGCATTTGTTCTGATGAGTTAAGTGCCTCCATCCATCACGCTGGATCTGCACTCCCGGGGAGGTCTGCAGAGCAATAAACTCCTCTGAGAGTATCTAGACTTTCTCCCTGTTGACCATGTATCTACCCTCAGCCTGGTGTTACACTGGAGCAGCTTTCCAGTTGGGAATCTGATCAGGATCTTGCCCCTTGTAAGTATGAGATTCTTCACTCTGCTCACCCCGAGACCTGGCTCTGACATGTAAGGGAGTAGCAAAGCTGCTTCCAGGGTTTGTGTGTTTCAGAGCTCTGCACCCAGGGCTTAGAACATGTTTTAAGAATACCTTAATACCTTTTTATATGTAAATGTTTACAGATGGCTTTGAAGCAACAAAATCCACAGCTTCATCCATGGCAAAGGTAGCGTGACAGGGGATAAACACAAAGGGTTGGTGTGCAGACGGGCTGGGCTGTGGGAACTGACTCCATCTGGGAGGTTAGAGGAGGAATAGCTCTAACTTCTGTATAGTCACACACTCATTTGAGAATATCAGTGAAGAATCTGGATTTGCTATAGACTCCACCTCTTCTGGATAACACACCCTGCTCTTTACTGGCAATTTCAGCAGTTTAGCAGTTCTGAGAACACAAAAACAGGAAATTCTGCAGCAGCCTTGACGGAGGCTGAAGATGCGTAGAAATTCCTTAAAGAAGTGTTATTTTCTGAAAACAAACTATCAAAAGCCTCGAAGAAAAATAAACCTCTTATCAAAACTCTTTGCTTTTACTTAATCATTTCCTATTAAATTTGTCACCTACTGAAGTGCAGAGGAAAACAGCCTCCTGCACAGGAAGCAGGAGTGATTCCACTTGGAACCGGAAAGGGACAAAGTCCAAATTCCTTCTTTATCACATCCCACTGTGAGCAGGTGATGCAGCATTTGGCATTACCCCTTCACCTACCTTTACACAGCATAGGAACCAGATCCTTTATTATCATCACAGTGCACAGGGAATGGTAACGACAGACCCTGAACATAGTGACGTCTAAAACGTAATTAGAATTTTGCAGACTCATCTTTGTTGCAGTGCTCCACAAATTTTGGGGATGGTTGTGATTACTTCATTAGAGTTGTTTGGAAAACAGAAGGGAAGTGGGGATTAAGTTGCAGAGTTTTCACTTTTTTTTTCTGTCAGCAGTTTCTAGTCAATTGGAGAAATAGTTGGTATAGTCTGCAATTTTATTACTTCAGTAAATGAAACTGAAGTAGCCCAGAATGTTGAGGCACTGTAACCACAGGAAGCTTTCCCTTTGCAGCTTTTGAGCCCTGGCAGTGACTGTCATAAGAGAAGGAAAAGGATTGCTTGTGAAAAATTTGCTTGTAAAATTGAGCTGAAACTTATTTTTCTTTTTTTTTTTTTAACCACTGATTCACAGCATTGGAAGGGCATATAATTATCAAATGCCCTGTTCCTATACAAACAGATTATATAGCCTCTGATAAACAAAAGACTGAGAGAAATAAGAACATATGTCTGTCTGGTATAGCTGAGAATCATCCTATCAGTCATTCACTTAGGAAGGCCCAAACCAAAACTGTCACGATTCCTCTGTGGGCAGGTTGTCACTGAGTGCTGCATTCAGGCAGTGATTCCTTTCCAGGGCACAAACAGAGGCTTTGGAAGAAGGTGTGGGATTTTGCCTCCCCCTGTGTGGGGTAGCAGGGCAGTGGGAAATCACTGCAATCACTGTGAGGAACAGCCAGAGTCGAGCTTGCAGACGTCCTGCTGCCTGCTCCTGATCCCAGACCTGTTCCTTCTCAAAGCCTTCACACCCAGCCTCTCTGTAGGACACCATAAA